AGCTTGCATGCTTAACCTCAGTCCAACACAACCCGAGTCCAAACATTGGAAAGGAAAGAAAACCGTGGAAAGTGACAAGCCAGTGCAGTTTAATACAAATGCATTATTATTCCCGTATATGTTACAAGTGTTTTATGCTTTCCATTTGTTATATGAAGATTTAAAATTAAATGTATTACTATCAAGTAATTTGAAACCTTTGTCTTCGTTCTTATATCAATTAGCGAAAGATTTGAGATTGAATAATTATGTGAATCATTATTGGTTGGATTTCCCTAATGATTACCATTATGAGTGTAATGAGATGGACTCTCAAGTGAGTGATGCGATGTTGAAGAAGCTCTCTCCACCTAATTACTTCTCTCCGGAGCCTCCCGGGATCTTCAGCTATTTGAACTCGGTGTTGAAGAACTGTGATGTTGGATATTATCCTCATTTACCAGAAGTTAATGATACCTGTAGAGATCTTATAGAGGTACGTTGAATTTCTTAATGTGTCTTATGTCATAATACATAGATTCTTATGAATGCTATGTTAGATATGGACAGCCATATTAACAATACTTGTAAATTACTTTAAAACACACAAACTGAACTCCAATGTCACAACGCAAATATATCTAACGTTCCGTTGTGACGACTAAAACACTGAGCTTGTTGGCGACTGAGCGCCGAGACTGCGCTGAGTAAAATATAAACATTTAAAAATTATTTCAAAAATGTTTAAGCGAAGTGTCACATACGACGAATTATTTGTTTTATTTGTGTGTTTCATAAAAAAAATAAACTATAATGGTGTAGTTGAGGTGTTATATTTAATTTTAGTGTATGACTTTGTAGATATTGTGCACTGTGGGGTGCGGGCGCGGCGCCGGCGTGCAGCCGCTGAGCCAGCAGGTGCTGGGCAGCAGCACGCCGCGCCCGCACCGCCTCTCCGGCCCCGCGCCCGCGCCGCACGCGCAGGCCGCGCTGCTCGCCGCGCACAGAGGTACCGCACAATACAACATAACACACACACACACACACGGACGCACATGCACACACACAAACACGCACAAACGAACGCGTGTTGTTTATTTTATGTGTGTACATACACACACAAAATAATTATTAAAATGAGATAGACATTATTGCTTTCCAGATTACAAATAATAATAAGTAAATGCTTAGTTTTTTTCTAATCGATTACTAATATAGTTTTCGTTTCCATTATCGGCAACGGGTCGTCACCACATACAATACAAATTCACAAACATACATATGTCAGGCAAAAAGACTTGTGTCAGGTTTCTTACCCCCTTAACCATCCCTTGACTTAACTATACTATGACAAAATCAATTGTTGTGCTACCTACATGCATGTTAGCTGTTAATCCAAGTTATCGTTTATTCCCGTAATTGGCACATGACTGTAGACATTCAAGTATGCCAGTTACTGGCGAGTGTATTCCTGGAGTAACCTTTTTAAACGACACGAGATGAGATTATATGAAAGTTATCGTCTATTTCAAATATTTTAGAAATTACGTCTAAAAATATGTTATGGGCGTCGCCACAGCAAAAGGGGGCGGATCCTCACAGACAACTTGTTATATTTTCATTAAACTTGACTAAACTTTATTTTAATCTTTCCCAGGTATAACATTACAGGGCATAGACAACTTCCCCCC